GGGCGAAGAACGAAGTGGTCAAAACGTTTTGTCTCCCCGGGCAAATGGTCAGGGGTTTTTCTTTTTTAAACGACTGGTCTTTCCCTGCCCCACTTGGTGGGGGGGGGGGGGATTGATGAAAAGACAACCCTAGTTTTTGGGTGGGGGCCATTTGAGAGCAAATGAACATTTGCGGAGGAAACAAATGCTTTAAACGGTCTGAGGGGAAAAGCACGTGGGGATTCACTGGGGTTATCTGGAAACGTTTAAACACCCAAGGGAGAGATAGGTGTTCAGTCATAAAGTTACTGGTACCATCGGATTTTACCTCTTGGCTTGCTACTGAAGTGTCCATACTGCTTTCGTTTATGTAGCCCCAAAGTCAGCTCTTTCGTTAACTCGAACTCCTGCACATTCTGAATGGCCTTGGGGCATGGGGTCTGCCTTGAGTGCTGGAGGTCCCGTTCAGGCCCCGGTGATGACTGTGATTTTTTTTGTCAAGTGGACTTCAAGTAATTTCCCCTGGTCTCTTAATAGTAAGGTAGGACGTGTACTGTTGCCCACGAAAAAAAAATCCTTGACAATTGTAAAACGAAAAGAGTAGCCTAACGGGGCTGCCCGGGCAGAAATTTAGAGTTAACGTAAAAATCTACATATAATATTTTAGGAACCTCGCCGGTTCTACTGAATTGTTGCACTACGGTGAGATTCTGCGAACCCAGGCACTTGTGCCTTGATGTTGGTCCGTTTTTTAAACCTAAACCTAAACCTACATATTCTTAACATTATAATACACGGCACAAACGGGTCCAGATGAGGTGAGGAGTAAAGAAGTTTTATCTGTCGTGACAATAGAGAACTTCTCTAGGAGACACGGCGTCGACATTTTTAGAACTGCTGCCTTGGTGATTCTCTTTTGGATATCCTACCATCTAACTCGATAACACTGTTTCCTGGTTGATAGCCAGACAGTATTGACATCACCTCCATTTACTTCCTACATCCTATGATACCATTTGTTGGAGGTCGTGGGATCAGGTCAAGGCGCTTTGGTAATATGGAGCTCCGATTGTTATGTACTTGCCAGGTGCAAGCAAGACTGTATCAACTACTAAAACCGGTCACAGCCAACTAAAGCTTTTTATTAGGCCATCCAGGTAAATGGAAATTCCCGTTTTTGTCCAACTCCGAGGGGCCGGTGTGTGTTCGCTATGTTTATCGACTAGATTTATACACAAATTAAACTTCAGTTTCATTGATTCGCAACTGTTAGTTTTTTTTTTAAAAGGTGGGGGGTTTAGGGGGAGGGGGGTTGGGGAGTTCTGAATTATTTATCATTCTGAAGATTAAAATGAGTGTGCTATATATTATTATTGTCACTATTATTATATTTTCGAATAGCACAAATTTTAAACAATAAGTGGTGGGGTGGGTGCAGTAAAAGTGACGACAGTTGGGTTCTTTACGATCACGCCTGGCAACAGTAATGATCAGTAATAGGATGGAACAGACTCAGAACCACACAACCGGGCACACGGGCGAATGCAATAGGGAAACAACCGGATAAAACAGTGGTTCTCAACCATCTTATTTCAGCGACCCTTAAATATAGTCCTCGTGGTGTGATGACCCCTAACCATACAATTATTTGTGTTGCTACTTAAGTAAATATGCGTTTTTTAATGGTCTTAGTCGATTCCCGTGAAAGGGTCGTTCTACCCCCAAAGGGGTCGTGACCCACAGGTTGAGAACAGCTGGGATAGTAGACAACAGATGGAAACGAAGAACAATAGGAACGTAATGGGACCTAGACAAAGAGAAGAGGAAAATCTATCTGGTTAGGGACATAAAGCCACCAATCTTGCGCACATACAACAATCTTAGCCAAACTGTTTCTTCTTCAGCATTCCGAGCCCTTGAGGTTCATTGTTGCAGATATCACCCGCCCCCCCCCCCATTCATCTCTTTGGTTCGCCTTCTCTTTCCAGTTGCTGACACCACGTGTTTGCAGGTCTGTCTGGACATTATCTCTCCATATTTTTCTTGGTCTGCCTGGTAGTCTACGACCATTCATCTCCCTTGGGTATACAGTTTTTACTTCTCTGTCATCTGACATTCTTTGTGTTTGTGCCAAACACTTGGCTTAAATAAACCAAATCATAAATGTAACTGCAAACTTTGCTGCCAGAGCAGCATGTTAAACGTTGATGACTTCTTTTTCTTCTTTCTGCAATGGACATGGACTATTTGCACGAAGGGGACTTCCATAGCATAGCCGCTAGAGGCTCTGATGGCGGTCCGAACGTTTCGGGTTCGAAATCACATCAAGGCAAGCAAGCAACGGGGTGACGGTCTGTAACATCTCATATGGCGATTTGGACGAAGACAACATACCGACAATGATGACGACACCTAGACAAGATCGTGATAGCAACCACGGCCTTCTCTATTTATACAGCCGGACGTGATAGCAACAAAGGACCTTATAGCGGAACAACAGCAAGAACAGCTACTAAAACAACACGAAGAACTGGTACGACACCACGAATAGCTCAAAATACGGCCAAATCAATAGCAGTAACGCCACTAACGGATGTCACAATAAAGAATACATGACTAAATCAGATCCACACCTCCACATTGAGACAGTCACGACCTGGCCAAACACAATAAAACAGCAACAAAATGTATTGTCATAATTGTAACCGATATTGACTAGGACGAGGCCGACTCCCTAATCAGAGGTTAAACGGGGATATTCGAACGAACAAAGGTTTTCCTCTTGCAAAACTAACCGTGGCTCTAAGGTAAAACCAGTCTGACATGGGTACCAGGTAATGATCTGGAAAGTAAAGCTGCCTGGCGCCACGCTGACCATGTCACTCACCGAGTTTCTGAATAGTCTGTTCCACCCTCTAGATTTGCATTATGTAGGATCACCATCTCAAGGATGAGATTTAAACAATAGCAAATCTGGGAAACCCCTTTCATCGTGCAGCCATATAGCTAAATTTGGATTCTTTATTATTATCCTACCCCAGATGACGTCACAGGACAGTCCAACATTTTAGAGGATGATAAGACTGGTTTCCGGCTTTCTGATACTTTTAACGACCCCAAAACATTTAGAACTGGCCCTAACCCCAACCCACCTACGTCCCATGAGAGAGTGCAGCCTAGGTCTGACGACTGCATGCAGCCTATCTACCACTCCCTGAAACATTAGACTGACCAGTGACCTGTGGATTTCCCTTGTTTGGGGTAGGATATTAATAGAGCACCCATTTTTTTTCTTATATGGACAAGATTATTAACAGGTTCTGTGTAAAATTTCAATTTACACTGAACGGTTACTGAATTACAGATTTTTAAAGGTGGGCATAACTTCTGAAACGATAAAGTTCGGACTGGTCTATTAAAATGTTAGTCGTATGAAATGATTCAAACAATGGTGCCTTGGCGACAGTTATTCTCTCAAAAACCAGCTAACAAAACAATCGTCGATTAGCCTCGCTGGACGGCTCGGCCAGAGCGCCTGAGCAAGTGAACTCGTGAACTGAGTTAATATATGCAGATGGGATTTAAGAAAATATGTTTGACTGGTCAAACAAGGGGAGGAGGTTCGTTTCAAGGGCGCTGGATACTGAGTGCTCAGGTACATTGAGCACCCCTCCCCCACCACCGCCCAAGCCAAAAAAATTTTAGCCACCCTCTCCCAAAATTAATATGTTGGAGCAACCTTCTCCCCCCCCCCCTTTTTTTCCCCCCACCATTTAAGGAACTTTGCAAAACGGTTAAGCGGTCCCTTTTACTGAGTATATTATTTGTAGATATTTCATATTAATTCAATAATATTTATATCTGTTGTAGTTAAGCTAGTTGCATAACCTTTACAGCACACAGTAGCAAAACAACACCGGCATCTTCTGGCTGCTGTGGTTTGTCTAGGCAAGTTTACTTTCAGTTGTTTGCCATTGCTTACTGAACGGTAATCTCTCGATACCACTGTCGAAATCAACGCAAGACCGTCTGCTGCCAAATCGCCTGCCGCTGTGATCAAACCCAGCACCCCAGCATTACGAAGAACGTTCGCAACACATAAGCCACAGACGCCGACATATATGACATACACCCGCTAATAATAAATACTATTATTATTATTATTATTATTGCACCATTACAACTATAGTTCGTCCATAAATTCACGAACACGTTTGCAATCGATTAAAAAAAAAAAAAAACTTCCTTTCAGATCACATTGATTTTTTTTTTTTTTACCCACAGCTCTTCAATATTCGTGACGCAAAATAGTCTTTAGTCCATAAACTCTCAGAATTTTTATAATCAGACAGTTCCTTTGATCTTTTCGAGCCACTGTAAATAAGTAGAATGACATTTTGGATTTTAAAGTAAACATGTCAATTTTAAGTTTAAGTTCAATTTTTGTCCAGAGCTGTACCTTCATAATAAATTATTCTCTATCCAACTCAAGCACCAGTTTCCTTCGTTTCTCTGGGTTACGGATATCCCCCAAATAAATGACCCATCTTATATTCCCGGCAGAAGTGTTGATACGGTAAAACGATCAACTTCTGCATAGTTATAAATCTACACCTAAAACTCATTATAGAATTGATGATTATGATAGTTTTGATAAGCCAAATAAAATAATCACTAATTTGTGGAAACGCCTTTAACTAAACAACCATGAACGAAGTCTTTGTGTGTGTGTGTGTGTGTGTGTGTGTGTGTGTGTGTGTGTGTTTGTGTGTGTGTGTGTGTGTGTGTGTGTGTTCCGTTCACTAACAGTATGACTTTGCACAAGAAAATCATGAAATTACAGTTTTTCTTTGACCTTCTGATAAACCCGTTATAGTGTGCTTAACATTACTTCCTTACTAATAAAAGTAAACCTTCCCAAACTCTACAACAACTGTTTTGTGGAGAAAAAAATCTATCGTA